ATCCTCCGTATCAGCGGACTCGTATCAGCGGACTCGTATCACCAGCGGACTCGTATCAGCGGACTCGTATCAGCGGACACCGTATCAGCGGACGCCGTATCAGCGGACGCCGTATCAGCGACTCGTATCAGCGGACACCGTATCAGCGGACGCCATATCAGCAGACACCGTATCAGCGACTCGTATCAGCAACTCCTATCAGCGGATGCCGTATATCAGCGGACACCGTATCAGCGGATGCCTTATCAGCGGACGCCGTATCAGCGACTCGTATCAGCGGACGCCGTATCAGTGGAGGCCGTATCAGCGGACGCTGTATATCAGCGGATACCGTATCAGCGGACACCATATCAGCGGACGCCGTATCAGCATCCTCCGTAGTATCAGCATCCTCCGTATCAGTGGCTCGTATCAGCGGACACCGTATCAGCGGACTCGTATCAGTGGAGGACTCGTATCAGCAGACACTGTATCAGTGAGCTTCCGTATCAGTTGCTGGTTTGCTTATTAGGAGCTTCATTTTGTGAGCAAAGAGGAACTGAAGAATAGTACAAAGAAAAATCTGAGTCTCCGGGAGTGAATATTTGAGTGGGAGTTGCAAAACGGTTGCATTTTCCATACAAATTTGACTCTTTTTGGCAACCAAAATAGGTACGGATGCAACCAAAACRGAAGAGCTAATACGGTTGCACAGTAGAATCCCTACCACAAAATATGTAGAACATGTGAGTACGGTGGTAAATAGAGTGGGTCTAGTAAGCGTACTATAGCCTACGCACCAATTTTGAACGTTTTGCAATATCGGTTGCAAAAACGAGGTACCCGCACTGTACTCGTCAAATGCAACTAAAGTTGCACTCCCAATATTGGTGCGCCGGCTACGCCCAAATGTACTACATAGGCCCTAACCCCCCAATCAACCGGTACCATACTTGGTACCCCTATTTTTGCAACTGTAATGACTCTTTTGTGTGCAAAATTAACACGCAAAAACCGTACTGCACCTTTTTCTGGGGTTGCTGTAACTTTGCCTCCGAGGTGCATTTTCATGCGTTGAATTTACACGGTATTGCAATATTTGCAACATCGAACTGCTCAAGCAAATTGCAAATTGCTTATTCTTTGCTTATTATTTTTCCTTCCCGGTTAAAATCTGAGTTTCCGAGCAACTCGTACGTACGATACAGCACTAACAACACGATACGATGGCACCGACACGACGACAAGCAGCAAGACGCATAGGAGGAGCAAGACAGCGACGACCACGCCGAAGACGTACTGGAGGCAGCGAAGCGCCGAATGAAGCGCCGAATGAAGCAAATGAAGCAAATGAAGCAAATGAGGAAGCCGCGAATGAAGCCGCGAATGAAGCAGCAAATGAAGCAAATGGCGGAGGCTTATCAGAGCTCGTACGCCTTATTGCAGAGGACGTCGTTGCTAACGAGGACGTCATTGCGGAGGACATTGCGAATGAAGCGAATGAAGCAAATGCAAATGAAGCAACCGCAGCAAGACGCGTCGAACAACGCGTCGAACAACGCGTCGAACAAGGAGGCGCCGAAGCAAATGAAGCAAATGCTGAAGCAAATGAAGCAAATGAAGGAGGCTTATCAGAGCTCCTAGCCCTTATCGCAGAGGAGGAGGAGGACGACGACGCGAATCAAAGACCAAGAAAAGGAACTGCTAAACGCCCACCGGGAGTGAATGTTTGTGGTCAGTGGAAGAGATATCTCAAATATTTCCTTGATTTCATGGATTATGTGCATGGGAGGAGAGATGGTTATTATGACACTCCAACAAGGACTCCTGATACAAGATTTCATTGGGATCATGTGTTTAGCCCTGAGGATTTCGCGGATATTACCCCCAAACATGTGTATCAATTTTTGGCACTTAAGTGCTATAGAAAAGAGGATCCTGGCCCAGATGATAATCCTATATTTGAACGGTCTACAACTATTGAATACGCAAAGAAGGGGATATCCTATTATATGCCCAACAAGACCGTCAAGTGGTGTGTAATCCAAGGTGTTGGGCACGGTAATCCAACGCAGTCTCAAGAGGTGAATAATCTTATTGCAGCGGTGAAGCTGAAGGAAACTAGAGGGCTTGGGGTTCCATCTCAGATGGATAGACCGTTGACTAAGAGTGAATTTTTGCAGGCAGTTGACCTTATATCACAGGAGGCTGGTACTGTCATAGATAAGAAGAGATATTTAGCAATGATGTTGACACAGATGCA